AGCCAAAGCTCACGGGTGAGTCATGTCTGCGCCTCGTCACAGCGGGGCAGATGAGCGAAAATCCTTGGGAGCCACAGTGCCCTTATGTCAACTCCCGTGCTGCGCTGGTGTTTGCGGTCCTCCATATGTTCCTGCCCCCACATCCGTGGCCCAGCAGACTGCAGGGCTGGGGGCAGTCTGCTCCTCTAAAAACAGCAGCTTTGCATCACAGGTCATGCCGTATGTGGCCTTTCCCAGAGACTTTTCAATGCAGCATAACAGCATGGTGAAATGCTGCTGGACAAAACCCTGAGGGCCCTGTGTTAAAGGCAGGGTGGAATTGGGCTGGAGTACCTTTTTGGAGCTTGTGGCATCTTCCCTTCCTGCATATGCATGTGATAATGGCCAGAGGAGGTGAGGAAAGGGAAGGGCAGAAGCCACTGGGCTTGGCTCCTGCAATGAGTCACTTTGAGGGTAAACCTGGCAATGTGCAGCCTTTTTGCCCTCTTTGAATAAAGAGACAACCTGGAGGGTGATGATGGGGTGCTGGGGAAAACGTGCCCTCCCGTCCCTGCTCCCCACTGCTGCTGCCTCACCAGCTGGCTATGATCTTGCTATAAATATTTAGAGTGGCATTAAAAACCCAAAGGAAAAGTTCTCTCTCTCCTTGTCCAGAGAACATTAGCTACCCAAACAAAGCGCCTCTCGCTTGCTTTCTTGCTCTGTATGTATATGCTCTCACTGCGGTCCATTCTGATGATTGATTTAGCTTTATATCTCTGCCCTGGCTCTAACTCTTTGCTGCCTGTTTAGTCCTGCCTCTTCCTGGCAGCAGCTGTGGATTATTTTTTTAACCCTTAAAGAAACAAATGACGCTATGCCTTCACTAATAACAGTTTTATGGGGTTGGCGAAGGGTAGGTGGGATGTTCTCCTGCTTTAGATACTGATAAATGTGGCATTTATTTAGAAGATCCCAGGCTCGAGGGCTTTGCACGGTTATGCAAACCCCTGCTAACCCAGAGTACATCGTGTGCTGTTTAAATAGCTTATTGCTCTCGGGGGGGTTGCTGCTCCCTGCTGAGTCCCCGCACAGGTCCCTGCCAATTTGGGGCCAAGGCTCCCAAGCAATGAAGCTCCTGCTGCCTGCTTCACAACTCTCTTCTTTCTTTCCCAGAGAGTATGGTTTCAGATACGTCTCCAACCAAGTGGGCACATCAGCAGTGCTCAGTTAGGATTTCCTCTATAAATAAACTAGAAATCATTTTTCATGGCATATCCTAGGACAGTATGTCCTGTATGGCCCCTACTGCTGCAGCACGATCCTTGGTGAGAGGATAGAGCCATTTCCTCTGTAGGACAGTGTACCCTGTGTGAGAAAGTCTCTTTCTGAATGATCTCTGAATGTATGCTCCAGTCCCGAGCCACTCTCCTAGTGAATATGTTTTTCTGTATGTCCAATAGGAAACAGTTTCCCTAGGCTGACATGCTATTGACCAAAACAGGACTGAGTGTCCCTTTTGGGAGGAGAGGATATGGTATTAACCACGGCAGTGGGATGTTACATGGGTAAAGGGCTGATCTGAACACCATGTAGAGTGGGAAAGTGGGCTCCTTCACAGGTTAGGTGACCCACCAGCACTGTGGGACGTGATGCTGCAAGTCCCACATAGCCCTTCGGGGAGGCTGGACCCACCACGGGCTATTAAAAACAGTGACCCGCTGTAACTGCGGTTGTATGAGCTCCATCAACAGCCGGTTTCTAGACAGTGGCAATGTTTACCAAAGGACAACCTCTGCTGCAATGCTGTATACTCATCCTGCTCCTTCTGCTCTCTGTCCTTAAGTGTTCGGGATTGCTCAGTGTTGGAATTAGGATGGTTGAACCTTTTATCAGGTTCAGAGCAAGCTCTTCTTATGTTTTAATGAGATGGGATGATGAAATGTCTATTCTCATGCACTAAGCAACAGAGCGGAAAAAAGCGGTGATCTTATTGTCCAGCAGACAGGTGCACAGAGGAGATTGGTGATGTCAGACAACTGCTAGAACTCACACACAGATCCTGTAGCAGTTCAGGTGAAAATGAACAAATATGGATAAGGGAAAAGGACTGTTCAAGGCACAGACTTCACTGATTTCATTCAGTATTATGTGCTCTGCCCCAGTGACTGCCAGCCCCCCCAGTTGTTGAGAGAGATCATCCCTTTCCCCAGATTTGAAGTCTAAATAGATAGGAGGACAAGTAAAAATATTCCTTCTTACGGTCTTTACAAAACCGGGAGAGTGAGCAGAATCCGGGATTAACATTCCTCATTGTAAAAAGAGACAATTACAGGGATCATAATGAATCAGATGCCATGAGCTGGAAAGGACGGGTAGATGCCCCAAGCAGCAGTGGTGGCTGCCTGGGTCACAGCCTTCAGCCCAGGTTGGGAAAGCAGCCACCACTGCTTGGGATGCTGCATGCCCTGGCAATGTGGAGCTTGGTTGGTGGGCCCTGACCAGGGTCAGATGGGCACCTGACACTGTTTTGCTTATTATAAGCTGAGGGCAAGAATACAGGAGCAGAAAGGAAGACTGATGTGTTGAGGAATTATTAGATGTATGTATCACATATTTACACATGCAGGTAAATGTGTATCATAATTATGTGCAAAGAGCAAGGGTATGTTTATACTAGCAAATTACTGTCAAGAGATGGCATGGATAGGGACCTTTCTACTCAACACTTATGTGTCTCACGCAGCTGATGACATCACCACATGTAATGTCTGGGCCAGATCCCCATGAAAGGAATGGCTTCCCACTCCCAGCACCTGGTTTTGGACTCATCCTGATACTCACTGAAGCAGCCTCCCCAGGTCCTGTCTATGCTCAATGTAGATTTACTATTGGCTTCATTGGACTGGGGAAAAAGCCCTTAGACTCTGTCCTGCTCCCTGGTTGACATCCTAGGTTCACTGAAGCAGTGAAACTGGAAGCATTGCATTACTCATTTTCTATCTAGCTGCTCAGCAAACATGAGTTCCCTGAGTGCCCTGTCACCACAGCTGTTGATCACATTGGTGTGAGACTTAATTCTGAACTAAGGCTTAGATGAAGACTTGATTGAATCTGGGTTTGGTTCTGATTTTGTAGGCGAGGCAACAGATTACATCTATAGACACTGGTCTTGAAACCTGAACTCGAATTTTGAACCCCTAACCTAAACTCCTGTAACACAGGGACATTTTACCCTTACAGCACTGGAGACACACAGCAACCCCACAAGTGTCACTGCCATCACTGTGTGTATTGTGCACAGATAGTGAGATACAGCACGTAATTCAATAATGACTTTGGCCCAGTATGTGTGGGTGTGAAGATGTGTGGCCTCCTGGCTTGGTTTCAGGACAATCTCTAATTAAAGAGTGAAAGATTAAGATGAAAGCAGTTGTGCTCTTCCTTCTTCAGTCAGAATGACCTACTAGTGTTAACTAAAACAGTCTTCAGGCAAGAATAAATTTGGCTGCCGAAGTTATGTGCTTGGCATTAAATAAGGACATAGCTGGGTTTAAAGTGTGCTGAGCTTCTAGAGGTTTCACAGGACCCCCTCACATAGCTTTGGGCACTCTGGTTGGAATACCCTAAAACAAACCCTTGGCCTAAATCAGCTCCTTCATGTGCATTCCAGACACCTACTGGCTTTTACATCAACTGAGAATGGGTACCTGACAGCTTATCTTGCACTGAACACATGGTGTGACCTCTGGAGGATAAAGTATCACCAGGAACACTGGACACCTAAGTAGATTATTCATCTGTCCTTTCTATAGTCTCTGGTTATATGAGCCCCACAGCAGCAGCAACAAGAAGATACGCAGATCCTGCACTGCTCTTCTCTTTCTGGGTCTAAACGTTAAAGTGCCTTTGATAGAGGCAAATCCCGAATCAGGTGGTTCATTTCAGGTCCAGGATTTGCCTCTGGTATCTTTATTTATTCATGTTTAGAAATAGTGCCAAAGGAGGGTCAGGCATCTAAAATGGCAGAACATCCTATTATACCTGTGTGGCACACAGTTCATTATCCTTAAAAGCTGTCCAACTTTCATATCTCCCATTTGTTCTTCCCCATCTTTATGGATTATACCTAAATGGCCAGGGGCTGCTGCTGTGACATTGATACAAGCAGGGAGAAACATGTCCAGTGTTTCAGAAATACTATTTTCAATGGGAATTAGATGCCATCAACCATCATACCTCTGAGGGTCTAAGCCTGAAAGACCCTTACTCATGCAGAGTGGTACACTCAAAAGGGGGAAGAGGCCAGACACACAGAAATGCTCACAAGCCCATCTCCTTGACAGACTCTTCTATTTCCCTTATTTGTCAGGCTGGGTCATATTATTTTCCCCCTACAATATAGGATTTTAGGGACATTCAGTGAGGAAAGGACCTCTGATGGTCTCCGAGTTCTGCCTCCTGCACAAAGCACGGTGAGCCATGAGGTGTGACCAGGTTGCTCAGGCTTTTATCCAGCCAGATCTTGGAAACCATGAAGCAGTCCTGAGGCCCATGTCAGCCTCTCTGGGAACAGCATTTGCTTGCCTGACAGATCCACCTCATGAAGCCCCATCTCTTCCTCAGCTGTGCTCCTGCACCATATCCCAGGGGGTGGTGTCAAGAGGGACTGCAAGTCCTTATCTCCTTCATGGAATAACTTAGGAGGTGAGGATGCTGAGAGGGCAACTCACAGACAGGGAAATCACTCTGACCTTCCCCACTGATAGCAGGACTTTAATCAGAGCCTGAATAAAATCATTAATTCACAGCCCTCAGGTTGTTTAAAGAGCTGTGATAATGGGCTGAGAAGAAATTGCTATCCATTTTCTCTTGGCAGAAATGTAACGGCATGACATGGCACCCGTCAGATTGGAGACAGAACAGGGATAATCTCCAGAACGAGAGAAAGACAGAAAATCCACCCAGAAGGAACAATGACAGAGGATTCTTCCACATATGCAAACACAAAGAGGTCAATTTACATGGGTTTTTTTTAACACATCTTTATTGCTTAAGTACATTTGGCGAGATAGCCATAACATAAACCTCACGTCCAGCATTACTTGGCAACACATTTCCCAGCTGGAAAGAAAATAAATTGGATTTTTTTCCTTTGTGCTAATGCCACATTTTTTGAATGCTATTTTGGAAGCTAATCAAGAGGTGGCTGCTCAGCATGCCTCTTCATTCCTGATGGCTCCTTAGTGCAAAATAGCCAGCAGCAGCTTCCTGAATTCCCCAGAGGTATCAGATCGGACAGCTTCAGCTAACGACTTCTTGTACATTTGCTGGAACTTCTCCTGTATTGCTGGCAGGTCGCTCTGAGAAGACATCAAGAGTCTCTTCAGACGAGTGGAATGTGCTTTGAGCAATATGTGCTGCTCCTACCAGGACCCTTGGGGTCTGATCCAAGGTCCACTGCACCCAATGGGAGGAGGAGAGGACAAAGCAGGAGGTCTAAATATCTTGGAGGTCTTTCAGCTTGCCACTCAGGTTTGAGGTAAGCCTGTGTCAGATGTGTCGTGAGGGGACACTAGCTAAGAGGAGGGGTATGGGCCTGTTTGGAGACCCGTGGCAAGGGGCACCTCTGCCCTGTGCTCAGCAGTGCTGTGCAGGCACAGCCTTGGTGCAAATCTATTGTGGCAAGCAGGGAAAGAGGCACTTCCAAGAGTGTGGCTAAAAGACAGTTTTGTTCCACCCACAGCAGTAATTTTCTGGTTACTATGGGGAGGGAATTAAATGCCTTGTCTTGAGCTTTGCTGTGAAAAGGCACCCACAGCACAGGCCTGATCTTTATCTCTGTGGGGTATTAAATGTTATCATGATTGGACCGTGCCTCAGCAGAAAGACTACCCTGAAGCCTACTTTCTCACACTATCATCATTGAGAAATATGCTCTCCTAATCCCTGTGAACAACTCCTCCTCTGTGTCAAGACTGACACAGCCCTGGGGCGACAACCTACACAAGTTATGAGGAAGGAAGACTTAAAGACTGTTTTTGAGCTCTCAAAGCCTTTTGCAGTTTTGTGCTTTTTCAAACGACAATTATCTCCTTTGGCTCTTTATTTTTCTTCCCTGCCCCCCATCTGTGTTTTACCAGCTGGAATCAGAGAGAATTTGCAACATATGTTCATAGGCAATTCTCAAATTGGGAACTGCTGCTTTATCATTACTTAACTAGGATAACTTGCTTTTTCACATCCTATTGGGGCCAGATCTCCCTATGGGTTAGTTTTAACCAGGTACAGTTGACTCCACCTGAAATTGCCTGCATGCTTTCTGCTTCAGTTCTTTTGAGAACAGAAATATATGTAACATCAAAATTAGAGTTGCCTGGGTACAAAAGCGTGACCATTGATGTCATTGGGCTGAGATGGTTTGACTGAATACATGACCTACAGGACCCACTCCATACCCTCTACATTTGTATTTCCTCCAGAGCTGATGTGAGTTATGACAGGTCTCAGGGTACCCTACCTCAGACCTCGTCACAAGGATGCGAATCAAGGTGTCTTCATCAGTCCCAGCTCCTTTCATTGACTTGTGCAGAAGTGTAGCAAAGTAACCTGGGCAGTCTTTGGCACAGCTGACTATAGAAAACAGAAAGAGGCTTCATTATACTTACGTATTTACACTTTGTAATATATCTTCAACAAGAAGGAAATAAATAAGGAATAAATACAGGAAACTATCTAGGGTTTATGCTCAGACATATAAGCTGGTAGGGCTTTCATCTTGACTGGTCCCCTATCAGCATGCAAGGAGAAGTCTTGGAATCTGAATGGCATATACATTTATCCATTGGGAAAGTGTATTACACAGTGGCATTATCAGCACTGAGTACTCTGCCATTCCACAGTGAAAATGAAATGAATGAGAATGAGCATCTTCCCTTCTGGAGTTACACTTGCCCATCTATTCTTGTGGTAGCTGCTCACTCCACAGCTCACAGGAGCAAGATTTGGGAGAGCCCAGATCCAGATGGATAACAGCAATACCAGTAAGATAACCAGAGCCAGGACACAAGTTTAAATACCTGTCACAGTCATTCCCAGTGATAAATTGCTGTTGAAGACCCTGCACATTTTGTGGTGGCTGGCTAGCATGCTTCTGATGATGCCCAGGCAGAAGTTATCAACAGCCATGGCCTCAGGGGCAGCTTGGAGATGGCCTCCATGTGTTAGAGTGCAAATAATTCAGCTGCATGGAGAGTTGTGTCTAGCAAGTTTTATTTCTAAAACCAAGAGGTCCAAATCACTACTGGAAACTGGCTCTTCTTTTCCTAGCAGATATGACAGCTCAGTTTAGGTCTATCTCGATGGCTGCCACCAGGCTGTACACAGATACCCCCCAACCAATGTCAGATGATGGCAAGAACTAGGAAAGAAAGATCTTGACACCACTTTTTTTCTTACCAAGAGTGAGATAAGCCTTCTCAAGATCTCCAGAAGTTTCACTTTTAATGGATTCTTCTATGTCCTTCCCACACACCTACAAGGACAACAAAAAGGAGCCTTGAGAGGTGCTGTCTGTACACGCCATCCTATTGTCATAAAACCAGTATCCAACTTAGGATCCAATGGCAAAAAGCCAATTCAGGTCCTTTCCAAGGGAGTAATTCGAGGGCAAAGGAAGTTCTCCTCTGTTATAAGCACTCACAGATCCAGTGGCACCAAGAGAAGGTCTATGCATCCAAGTAAAGCACAGCGGTTAAGAGATGGATAACCTACGTCAATCAGTCACATTGTATCTGGGGGCTTCTAGGACAAAAAAGCTGCAGCTTCTTCCCGAGTGACCCCCCCCTTAGTTATCAAGCTTCCTCTAAGCCCTCTATCAAAGGCTCTGGATGGCTCCCACCCAAAGAAGATAATTTTTGGAGCTTTACCAGCTCTATGAAGTTTTGTTGCTTATTGTCTTTGGCTTCCCAGGGAAAGTTTGCAAACACTGCAGTTGTCCCCCAGCTTTTGTAGGAAAGGGGAAAAACAGACTTCAAAACAGAGTTTATCCTGAAATTAATGAACCTCAAAGGCTTTTACTTTGCTGTGGTTTACCTATGAGGTTGGCCCTGCATAGTTTTAGGTCAAAGTTGGGAAGTACACATTCAAGGTACCTTCTGAGGATTAATGCTTAAGTTCTGTGAGTCCCCAACCTGGTGTACATCTTCCCTATTTATCTTTCTGCTGCAGAGGAGGACTGATGTTTGCATGGCTCTAATCTTGGCCCACTTCTACTTCAAATGCAGTCAGGCAGGATGTGGTGGATCAATTTGGGCAACCTGATCTGCTTGGTTTTAGTAATCAAAAAGCCAAGGTAGTTTGGCTATCAGAGCATTTAGCTGAACCCCCATGGTCTGGGCCACTCCAAGGGAGTATCAGTTAATGACTGGGTTTGTTCTCCTGCCAGAAACAAACCAAAACTTGGATTAAGCTACAAACATTTTTCCAACTATGGGTTCCTTATTATGCTGACACTTAAATATGGCCTTGACTGGAGATTTTTCATCTTTGGTGCCAAGGGTTACAGCTTTCTGATGAATCTCCAAGTCATCCTTGGGAAGTTCAGGACTGTGAGCCAGAGGCTGGAGGGGGTACACTCTCCTGGGAATAAATGTCACTGCTGAGCTTCCTTCTCACTGCAGGAGAAGTCGTTGGATCTCCCATTGCTTTGACTTTCTTGGGTCATTTCCATGCGAGAGGTCTCAGTGAAGGTCTCACTGGAGGCCCAGGCGAGAGTAAGATGTCCCTGGTGGGCAACACAGGGAAAAGAACCAAACAGGATCCTGCTGCCTGCTTTGCCTTTTCTTTGAAGACAGCACACTACCTGCACAGGTTGTCTGCCCAGCATGGGCAGAGAGAAGGAGGCAGGAGATGTGCCTCTGCCCAGCCAATACGAGCGTATTGGGGAAGCAGGGGGATCAGGAGGAGAGACCTTGACGTGCTCTGCTTTGGAGTTGGAGAGGAAAAGATCAGAAAAGCAAACCCCTGCTTCAGGGCAGGAGTTTGTAAACCTAACCTTTGCTGGTCCTCCTGCAGGAGTGGGGACAACCAGCATCAAGCAGCCGTGGGAAGGGAACAACATGGTGACATTCCTTTGGCTGGATGCTGTATAGGTTATGAAGGTTCTTTACTGGCAGAAAACACAGCTTTTATCCCCTACTTCCATAAGATCAGGATCCACTTGTATAAAATATTTTCCAAGATCCTTAAAGCATTCAGGAAGTTTTAAAATGGCAAAGGAGGGATCACCTGCTCTACATAGAATCATTTAGGTTGGAAAAGACCCTTAAGATCATTACATCTCATTGTAGGGCCTGCAAACTACATGTCAGGCTCTGTGCAACCCACATCGTGGAAGAGAATAACTCACCTTTTCGTAGGCTTGAAAAGTAGCTCTCAGCTGACTATAGCTTCTCTTTGCTAAGACCACATTGAAAGCCAGCTCGTCTGTTCCCCAGCGGCCTTCTCCTGCCTTAAAGATTCCATGTTATTTCTTTGAAGCATTTGTTTATTCACAGCAGAGACAAAAAGTCAGGCAGAGCCCTTGATCCACCAAGCTCCAGCCTGTGCCCCCCTTGCCCGTTTCTTACACTGCCATCACCCCTGTGCATGGTGCACATAGTCACCCCGAGGTTGCCTTTGCTGCACAGCCTGGGGCAAACAGGGGCTTTTCCACAATTGCACTTACTTTATAGAGATCTGTGGCATCTTGCACGGCGAGCTCTTCATTGACCTCCTGGGTCTCATCTCGGGTTGCCTACAGGAAAGGACACGATCAGATCAAGCCCTGGTTCTGTTTCGCAGTGGAAAAGAAGGTTGTCAGTTTATGGCCTCACGAGTACTTTGGTTATAGTTCTGCTGCCATCTGCTGACAATTGCCTTGTACTGGGGCTCAGTGGGGCTTGGTCCAGCTCTGAATGGTGTGTTCGTGTTCACCCAGCTCGTGGCTTTGCTGGCTTTAGAGGTGGATGGAGCCTGTACAGTAAGGTTTATCTCCCTGCTTCATTTGCTGTGTGCTGGGGTGCTAACGAGGTTGCAACTCTGATGCCTCTGGCGCAGCAAGGGACTATCACGGGTGGCATGGACCGTATCCTGTGGATGTTCCCCTGTGGTGGAGTGGCTTGCTGGTCCATTCCCCTTGTGGCAAGGCTCCTTGCCATCCCATGGGTGTTCCTGCTGCCCCCTCAGCCACCATATGTCCAGAGCAGAAGACAAAGTCAGAGGAAAACCTGATCTGAGTTCGGAGTTAGGCTTGCTTTGAGGAAGGATCGATTAGAGGAGCTTTAGAGATCCCTTCTCACCCAGCTTGTTCTTTGCTTCTGATTTCTGCCGTTTGTTTCAGTTATTTCTATGCTGGTGGGAAGTGGTAGCATGCGCAGCCAGATGCTGGGGTGGGAATGGGGCTGAGATGTGCAAACAGAGCTGGGCAGGATGTTCCAACGCAGCCCCAGAAGAGCTGAGCTACTTAAATACTGGGTATGTCCAGCACCCTGGGCTCAAACCATGTTTTTTCAGGAAAGCAGCTGCTGCACCACATCCAGCTACTGCAGAAGGTTCCCAGTGCTTGCAGTGAAGTGCTGGTGGTTTTCATGGCGCTGGATATACCCTGATAACTACAAAATGTTTTCCTGACTGACCTGAGAATTCACTTACACGGGGATTCCTGGTACAAAATATGAAAGACTAATCTACAAAAACCATATATGAATAATATGTATTTATTTTAGGAATTTATTGTATGAATAACACTCTGTAAAGTATACCCCAAGAGGCTGAAGAAAGCTGTATCAACGCTTTCCAGAACTGGAATCTAACTCTGATGTATTCAGTGATGAGTCTGTCAGATCTTTAAAGCTTCTACTTATTGAATCTTTCAATTTCTCAGGGCCATCTGATCAGACTGACCACTGTGCTGCATTTCTAGGTGTGATCCTACCTGCATCCCATACACCCTGCCACTCATGGCTTTCCAGCCTCAGGGAAAATCTCTTGCTCCTATACTATCTTTAAGAACCTATTTGCTTCTTTCAGGTAGGTGTTTTAAAATAAAGTGTGTTCTAATGGTAAATCTGCTTTTTTTTTTTTCTGAATAGAAAACTACACAACAGCAATCTTTCTTACTTGTTCTGTATCTATCAGAATTGTAAAATCCTCAGCTGAGACGGAAATCAGATTTTACTGGGCTTGGACAGACTTCAGCATAATGAAGCCATGAACTTGAACAGGTATTCTAGCCATTACCTTCCTATAAGTAATAATAAAATAATGCTGTTGTCTACAAAGTATCAGAATTTATAAAAGTACTTCTGATTTTATAAATTAAAATTTTATGTATTAAAAGCTATAGAGATAGAAGCCTCTTATACTTAAGAATGCAGTTTGCTTACTATGATTACCACATTATTATACTGCATCTCATGCTTACATTACTACAAATACCAGCTAATACTTATTATGATTACTCAGGGTAGGCAGGATAAAGGAAACATCTCTGTCAGGTAGCAGCATAAGAGGAAAGCCTCCAGCCTTACCTCTAGCACAGTGACTAATATCTTCCGCAGGGAGCCACTTGTGTCACTTTTAACATCAGACTCTAGATCCCTGTCAAAGACTGTGAAGAATAACAGATTTTGTGAGTGTTCACCCAGTGATAAAGAAATGAAGGTGTTTGAAAGACAAGTCTACTTACGCCGTTTGTATGCCTCCTTTACGTTTACAATTTCCTAGGCAAATAAACAAATAAGGGACAAAACATAAATAACTAAATGAATAAATTTAATAAAGACATACAGAAATAAAGAAATAAACACTCCCTCTCCTTAAGGAAGTCAGTGCCATTCCCATGTTGTGTAAGAAACGCATGGAGGCAAGAGAAGCCAAAGTACCATTCCCTTCTCATGGTGGGACTCACTGCAGTGCAAAGACATGGCTCAAACCCAGCCTGGTTCAGGACAGCATTTCAAGGGATGCCTGACTCATGCAGGTGTCCCCCTGGTTTCATTTGTGTTTAGGCATAAGCTAAAGGGCTTTTTGAAGAGAATCCCATTTCCATACCTGTCAGGAGCCACCTGACTGGTTAGAACAGTGTTAAAGCAGCCTTTTACAGGCACCTGTGGATTTCTGTATCACCAGTGTTGCCTCTTTGCCATCTATGAGAGATATAATTAGGACCAAGGAAGGAATTAGAATTATAGGGATGCTGGAGAGGGACTCATTAGGGACTGTAGTGACAGGACAAGAAGTAACGGGTTAAAACTTAAACAGGGGAACTTTAGATTGGATATAAGGAGGAAGCTCTTTACTGTAAGGGTGGTGAGGCACTAGAATGTCTTGTCCAGGGAAGCTGTGAATGCTCCATCCCTGGCAGTGTTCAAGGCCAGGTTGGACAGAGCCTTGGGTGACATGGTTTAGTGTGAGGTGTCCCTGCCCATGGCTGGGGCATTGGAACTTGATGATCTTAAGGTCCTTTCCAACCCTAACTATTCTATGATTCTATGATTCTATATTGCTCTTAACTCCTGGTATGGCAACCTTACTGCTGCAATCCCTGACAAGAAGAGTTTCAGCCACAGGAGCTGGTCTGATTCCCTCCTCCTCCTCCCAGAGGGATGCTCTTGGTGAACTCTTTGCCCTGCTACCTAAGGAAGGTCATGTGCGGTGTCCCAACCTTATTGCTTCGTGTGCAGAGAATCTCAATCAGCAGCGACTCATCCGTCCCAGCTCCCTTCATCGCCTTCCGAAGCTCTCGGGCCTCGTACTCGCAGGGCAGGTCCAGCAGAGCCAGCACAGCCTTCTCGAAATTCCCACTCAACTCTCCCTTCAGGACCTCTTCCAGATCCTGTGGGGATAGTCAGAAGGGTTAGTGAAAAAGCTGAGGTGGGATTATAGGTTTTCTTATTATTTTTGTTTTTGGGGGGGGGGGGGGATTTAATGATTTCAAAGCTGCTTCTGTATTAAAAAGGGACAAAACCATAAAAAAGCTCTTAAATACGTAGACTTTTTTATAATAAATTCCCTAATTTTTTTTTGTTTCAGATTGAATGATTGCCCTGTCTTTAAATACCAGCTGATATCAGTCCAGTTTACTCTTACTTGTTTAAACAGGTGCAACCCAGTGTTTTTAAAAGCTTAACAGTCTGAAACACAACACAGCAAATTCCCTGGTTTGAAAGAGCTGCAGCAGAATGGATCAAACCTACCAAACTTCTCTTCCAGTTTTGGTTAAAATTGACTTACTGGAAAACCCATCAGATTCTAGAAGTGCTTTGGTGCCACGTGATCAGCATTTTTTCCACCAAAATAGATAGATAGATAAACAGATAGATGATAGATAGATAGATAGATAGATAGATAGATCAACCTTCCTATGATCTACTTAATTCAAAATTTAGTAAGACCCAGAGAAGAGCTCGGTGGTGTATGCACACTGAGAAGGATGCCTACTGATGATTTATTTGAAGCCCTATCTGCATCTAACATTTCCTGTAGTATGGGAAGTACTTGACAAGTTCAGAACAACAAACGAGAAGCCCAGCTCTAAATCTATTGTTCTCAAATACCCTCTTACACAATTGTGAGTGAACACTCGGTCTGCTCAAGTCAGAGGCTGACACTGGTGTTGGAGCAGTTTCAACACCCACCATGAATCTTGCTGCATGAGGCAGAAGGAAAGTGAAATGGTACAACCTGCGGCTCCTTCCCAAGAGATTCAGGCTGCCCAGTCAAGCAAGAAGGGATGCTACATGCTGGTGTAACTGAGAAGTCTCATGGCATTTACTCATTTCTAATGCCTATTTTTATTAATCCTCATTATTGAACTACCATTTATGTAGTCAACATCTTTTATCATGCTTGCTGTTTTATATATAGAAGGCTTTCAGGTTCAGTGCTGCCTGTCTTATTAACTATTAATGACTAGTGACATTAACGACTAATGAGCAAGCAGACCTTAAGAAAATACCAATTTAATAATAAACTCTTCAGGATTCAGCTGTTTTCCTAATGATACATTGGAAGCTTTATTTTTCTTCCATGCAAAATCATTAAGGCAGTCTACATTTCCTCCTCCAGAAATCAAGCGCCCAATGAGACTTCTTACTTTTACAATGTGTATTCTGCTTCATCACTGGAAGAAATCAATTCTGCATCTATTAAACTCGACAAAAATACAATGATGTGAGATCAAATAGTTCCTCTGAATTTGCATCTGGTCTGACTTAAAATTTCCCTTTTACATTAATTCCTTCATCTGAATGTGCTGAAGATGAACACAGACTGAAATCTATTTCATTTTAGTTATGAATTATTTTATAGCTCTGTCAGTTTTGGTTAAAATGCTCTTGCTCCGGTTAAAGCTGATTTCAAGAAGACCATGAGGCTTAAGATTAGAAATACAATTGGTATTTTAGGAGATAAAATACACTGCTGAATCAGACACTAACTGGTGTCCTCCTTAAATCTACTGTGCCCTTGACATTTTCAAAAGCAGAGGCCTGGAGGCTGTATTTCTAGCAGGTACACAGTTTGAAACAGAGAGGCTATTTATTCCACAATACCTTGCTATAGAGAGACTTGTATTTCTGTTTTATTTGTTGTCTCTGCCCTGATGTTCGACTCGACAAGATTTCAATGATTTTCTTTTCATCAGTCCCTGAAAAAGAAGTTGTGCACAGGAGTTATTCAATCAGGAGGAAGAGAAAACATGACCTCTATAGAGAAAAAATCGCTGTACATATATCCTCACTGGTGTCAACATCAGGGTTTGCAGCACCTAAGATTCTTTTGAGCATATATTTAACTGTAGTCAGCTACAATGTTCAGACCATGAAATAAAATTCGTCATCTTATGCTGTTCGTATTTCATCAGAGGAATTGAGTCTTCTGTTTGAGAAGGCCAGAACCTGCTCCTAAAAGCAGTCTCCATGGGCTGACATACACATTTTTGGTGGCAAAGCTTGTTTGAGTAGTCCCGAGGGATCCGCCACCAGATTCAGTTCATTAAATGTGCAAAACATCTATGCTGGCACAGTAGAATGGACAGTGTGGGGTGAGAGGCTGGGGTAGGTTTAAATCAGCTTCATTAACCCACGGCCTGGATGCACAGCCTGTAAAAAATGGGTTGTGCCTTGTGCTAAACGGAGTCAGGAAGAGGAGCAGGAACCAGCCTTCATGGTCTGAGACTCTGCTGCTGCTGTTCTGCTTGGCAAAAGTAAGTGAAAGGGAAGTAGGAGCATTGGGTGCCCTGGTCATGGGCACCACTGCAGCTACATCTCCTGGGAACGAACAGGGGAGCTGAACTCTCCCGGAGAAAGCCCTCAGGCAGCGCTGAGATGTAACTTAAGTAATGGATGGAAACAGCTTACTAAAGGCAATGACCTTGCTGTTGCACTTTTCTTGCCCTCAGCCATATAAACAGATGTTTGCACTAAACAAAGCTGCCTGAAGGCATTGTTATGTTTGTGGCTAAAGGGACAGGATGGCAGTGATGTTACCTGGATGCCTGAAACACACAATACAGTAGCTACTGCACTAACACACATATCCTGGTGCACTTGTGTCTAATGGCTAGAAGCTTGTCTCACACATTATTTCTTCAAGACAAGTATTGAAATGCAGAATGTGCATGTGACGGGGACCACCAAAGAGCCCATAGCATATAAAAGGTTTAGATAGCAGATGAAAGGCACCAAGCCTTATGCCAGGTCTGCTGATCCATGTGTGACACATTGGTGGACACGGCCCGGTGCTCTCCATGTGCTCTTCCATCTATACTGTGCATCCATCTACTGGGCTTTATGCCATGCCTCACCTCAGGCTCTCAGGAGCAGGGACTAACAAGTTTCCAAGGAACTACAGATGATACAAATACAAATGATATTGGCATTCAGCAACAACCGATATGTTTCCACCCCTGCATGTCACCACCAGGTATTTACAGGACAAGTTTAGGGCATCTTGCCCAGTTCTTCCTGCTTAGAACCAAAGGAGAAGGCATGGCTCAATTTTAGAAGGAAAAGCACTCATACCTGACAATGTGGGGTGAAACCCTCAGTAGGACAGTCCCCTGGGGAACTGTCTGGAGGGGGCTCAGTTGGTAGGACAGGAACAGTTCAGCACTTAACTAGCTGGTTCTGAATGTCAGTGCTATACCAGGAAGAAAGGCTTAAATACATGTTTACTGTGCAAATGCCTGAAGTGAATTAATAACTTTCTGCTCTCATGTGCTGCCTGGCTGTTCTTCCTCTGCTGGACATGGTCACCTCTGTGCACCTAAGCATCCCATGAACACTGTGCATTCCTCATTCACATCAGTGCATTGTCAGCCAACTTACTTCAAACTACCTTAGAAGATGGTGGAAGCCAGTATTCTTGGTTAAAAATCATTGGTGCAGATTCTCACACCATATGTTCCTTTCAGATGATGGAGTTGCACTAAGCTCTGACGAACATATGGAGGTGGTGATATTTCTGTGGGTCCTTGAAGGCCTGGGAAAGGACACATAGCCATGACCTTAATCTGATCTGACTGACTAGACTCCATGACTGTTGTAAGAGTCTTAGCTTGATGTTCCTATTGCAGGGAGCAAATATCATGTTTACCCCAATCCCCTGCAGCCAAGCCATTAACAAACTAGATCCTACCAGTATTTGAGGAACAAACTGGCTTCCCTTGCCATATATCTTACTCATATAAAACCTCATGGGTGTGCATGTTCTTTGAGTCACTAGGTGACAGAAAGCATAAAGAAACTGGAACAGTTGGTTTGCCCTAAGATTATGTATATGCTTTTTATAATATTGAATTGACCTTTGTATACAGAACAAGAGCTTTCTTACCTGCTCCTTTACAGGCACTATGTATTTTCTTGGCATCTCGGTCTGCATCAAAACCATGGTGATGGTGTTTATTGGTTGACTAGGAAAACAGAGGCACAACAGACACATGGGAAACAATTTTGCATTAGTCTGAATAACAGCAGTTTGGGCCTGGTTCTTGCTTGATCTTTGTTCCCATCATCTAAACCATGAAGTTCACACTGGGCTTTGATGAAATACTGTATCTACCACCATGGCTTCTAAAATGGGTCCACAAATAGTTGTCACCACATGACACATGGTGCTGATCCTATATAACTTTGTTCTGCCAGTTCAGGCTTGTTCAAACAATTTAAAGGTAGTATCTTCGTACTAAGCATCTTAATGCCAAATCAAATATTATTTGTTTGTACCACTTTAACAATAGGCCAATATAAATGCCTTATCAGATGTGTACAGAACCAGGCCTGGTCTCTGCAGTACATTTCTAGGTATTAGGAGCTTACAGTTCCAATCAGCTGAATAAAAACTGGTCCTGCAAACCTTTCTTGGATCGATGCATTCATGTGAACAAGATAATTGGAGATATATAAGGTGATAAAGTGGTTGGGGTTTTATTTTGGCAAAATATGTGGTTACCTGGTGCTAAACCTATCCAGGGCAATAACTCAAGAGTCCAGAGGGCAGTGGCAGTTTACAGCCTGACATATCAATGTAAACAGAAAACCATGCCAGCTCCTACTAATCTGACAAGCTGTGAATCACACGAGCCGAAATACTGTCATACTCTCTATTCTGCTGTTTCTCAGATAAGGGTAGAAATATCTGAGACCAGGTCAGCAGCATTCTCAACACCTGTAATATGATGAATCAGGTCTTTTAAATGCCTAAACTCTAAAATAATACTGAAAATAGGTCCTAGGCTCTTAAATCAAGTAGAACTAACTATATGCACACCATGGACTTGTGGGGTCTAAGCAGGCACTGCAAGTGCTTTGGCATTTCCATTCAAACAGCATGTGGATCACGCTACGTGCTTTGCAGGGCTTCCAGGCACTGACACCACCACTGTTAATTAAGGATTATGATACCCCAGGGCATGGCAATCCTTCTGACATCCTCTTTCAAAAGAGCTTAAATGCCCTTCTGAAAATGCCACCAGCCTTCTGAAGAGCAGAAAAGGTTAAATGGCTGATTAACCTCCTTGTCTTTGGGGACCCGACAGGGCAGAGGCAATTCCTGAGAGACATTAGGCATAAGATCATTCTGCTTGTGGGATAAAGATAATTTCATCATATGGCTGTGGGCCGACCTCTGCCATGTACCCATCTGGCCAGAGAACAACCTGTTTTATTTGCAAGTATAGCTATAGCCTGGAAGTCTGCTGTTGGTTATCATCAAAAGTTTCATGCTGATCTAGTAGCTCTGGTGGAAGAACTACAGCTCTGGATAAAGGAATCCTCTGTCAAAAGACAAAGGCTCTTTTCTGAAGGAGAAGACCCAAATCTAGTCCCTACACTGCTTTACCAATGTACCTTTGTGATAAAGACCATTTAGGTACCTGGCTTTTCTAATGCAGTTAGCAGCTAGGATACAACTTACTACTAGTGGCAGCTGCTGTACTGCAGCCATCCACTGAAATCGGAAGTTACTTTTACAGCAATAGCAATTAGTAAGGTACAACAATGCAATAATTCCTCTTCATCTCTAGTACACAAGGTTAACACTTTTATTGCCACAAATGTTGCTTATAAACGTGGATCCTACTGTATGCTCAACACACACACTTCTCTAAACCTTTCAAACAAGGTGGAAATACATGCATATAAATAACTAATATTTTATAGGGGAAGATTTTATTTCATAGTCCTCAAATTTCCCAGGAATTTTGTTAAACACGAAGGGGAAAAGCACGAAGTTAGAAAACGGATGCACTGATCCCTGCCTTTATCCAGAAGGAATTGCATTCCTATTTTTCTATTATGATAGGCTGTACATGCTTCTCCTTTGATGGAATCATGTACAAAAGATCATTTTTTTTGCACAACATGCTTGAAAATTAAGCAGCTCTATTTTCCTCCTTCTTTTCTGATTGCTACACCCTCATTATCATTCTAGTGAGAATAAACCTCACCTTTGTTTTCTGTAATGACAAAACAAACAATGACAGCTAACCAGACTCAGTGGGTGATGAATTTGGGGGAAGACAATAATGGGATCCCACAATACAACAGAAGTTTACTCTGGATATACAACCCTACGATGCAAAAACTGAATGCACAATGTGCCTCTGTGCTGGAGAGTTGCATAGGCTGGTGTTGACACAAGAAGTGTGGTCCAGGTGCTCCTCAACATGTGGTGGACTCAATGAGCATCATGGAGTAGCATTCAGGAGCATGCTCTACTGTCTGCTAAATTGAGCGTGTTCTGCAGACAGCACTGGTGCCAGCATGGTTTTCCCCTCTCTGTAATATTAAGTTTAACATGAAAATTGTTTTGCAACACTTCAGTCCATACTTTGACATATACTTGGTAGCATTGTCAGAGTTACCACTATGTTGGCTAACGTGCTTCTAATTACTGCTTGCATCTGTGTCATGCCCTCTGGAGCAATCCCAAAGGACACTGTAAGCTGGAGAGACAGTATCCCTGCCTTTCCCTGCGCAATGTAGAAAGCTATTTGCAGGAACAGGGTACAGTACCTGAATAAAGTAAATGATGGTGACATTAAAATATTGTTATTTATAGTGTTAGCATGCTTTTCAGATTATGTTCACGCCACTCACACAGTTGATGCTGCTGTCATTGTTAAGCAGCCAGTACTGAAGTTATTCTAGAGTCATTTGCAAGGCATTTCTTTGTGAGGGTAAGGACCAGGGAAACAGCTGGAAGATCAGTTCTGGAGCATATAATACAGAGAAAAGTGCTAACATATCAAATACATAGATTTGACTACTTTGTAGCATCCAAGTACTATTCTAATTTATAGATCCCCAACAATGTTTATAGATCACTCCAACAATATGAACTGAGAACTACTGCTGCACAGTCACTTCCTCCTGACCAGGGACAGATGATGCACTGGTGAGAAATGAGAAGAAAAAGGCTTAATCCGACTTTTCAGTCATTCAGCCTGGACAGAAACACCCATGCAAACACTGAAAAGCAAGGAGCTGGTCTGTGCTTTGTCTTATACACAGGCAGTGCTGGGCTGTGGCACTTTATCATACTAATGCTGCTAATGCAGCTTTTGCTATCCCAGCCCAGCACAGACACACCTCATCCTTGTAATGTCAACTGTAACACAGGTGCAACAGGCAGGAAGATGGTAGCACCAGCAACTGAAATGACATTGAGAATTTATGAGAATTCATAAAGGCATAAATAACAAAACACAATTCAGGAGAAAATCACATGGAAGGGAAGGAATGCGTGTTTTTTAATGATGTCCAGGGCATGTTTGTTTTAAAGCACTAATGGAATCTATTGGATCAGCTCTGCTGAAGCCTCTGTCTTCAAATAAATCACTGTAAAACATTAAATGATGTGCCTGGGGGATATCATAGTACTGTGTGTAATACTAGCATCAGCTCTAAGATAGGAAAGCTGATACTCCGGGTGACTGTCAAGGCCAACTCCTGAGTCATCTGGAAAGCCCTGGTTAAAATTCACCACCTGCTGGGTCCCAACCTTGATCTTTCTCACTGATAGAGCCTTCCCATGCAGGAGAGGGAGAGCTGTCTCAGAACTGACTTGCTTCCTGCCCTGTGGATTTTAACAAGTCGGTTTTCCTGCAAGGGATAAATGGCAAAAGAATTTGATGTTCAGTGTCATTTCTAACTTGTAAGCCCTTTTCTTTCAAAATTATGGGTAGAATCACTTCAATATAGTTCTTGGTTTAGAGTTTGGATCTTCGATTTGAGTGGTTAATGACTTGCAAGTCTTGTAGCAATTTTGGTGATAGCATGGTGTGGAGTCTGAAATATCAGGTGGACAGACTGAATACCTTAGAGCAGCCTTTCAGTAGCTGAAGGGGGTCTATGAGAAATCTGGAGAGGGACTTTTTACAAGGGCAGGTAGGGACAGGACAAGGGGGAAAGGCTTTAAACTGAGAGGGGAGATATAGATTAGGAAGAACATTAGGAAGCTCTTCCCTGTGAGGGTGGTGCGGCGCTGGCACAAGCTGCCCAGAGAAGTTGTGTGCCCCATCCCTGGCAGTATTCAAGGTGAGGTTGGACGGGGCTTCCTTTTCCACCTGGTCTAGTGGAAGGTGTCCCTTCAGGGGGTTTGGAACTAGATGATCTGTAAGGGCCCTTCCTATCCAAACCATTCTGTGATCCTGTGATTCTATGAAAACAACAGAAAGGGCAGCTGCTTGGGATGATGCTTACAGTGCTCACCCACTGCAGTTCTAACACAGATCGATGCTGATAATGCACATGGATAAATGCAGACACAGATCCTTACAAGCAAATCACTAGGAAGAGTCAGCAGGAGTGTAGCTGCTGACCAGAGCACTTGAGATGCAGGTCTGATAGCTATCAGCAGAGCTCAAAAAGGGCTGGATTGATCCAAGAATGTTAAGTGCCTGCCCCAGTCTTCACTTTTGCCAGGTCCATTTTATATGCTTTACTTTGTGTATGACTAATTTCAAACTTCTCTTTGGTTGCTGTTTTCATTTTTCTTCAGCTTAACAGGAATAAAAATTCAATGTCAAAATGGCAGCACACAGAAGGTGCAGACTGACACAGCTGTGCTCTGCACAGCACTGACTCCTGCATGAGTGGGGTCTGGAATGAAATGCAGGGAGGTATTCAGTTGTCTAGAGATAGGTATCTGGTGCTATTAGATAACCCCTGGGTTAGAGATGGCCCTTGGTAAGCTGCCTGCTGCTGGTCAGAAATGAGTGGTCTCTTGTTGGACTCTCATCTGTCAACTTGGTGTGGATGTCTCACACACCTGAGGGCATCACCAGTGGTTACTGGTGGTGGGCAACAGAATCACGCCAGAGCTATTTCACCAGTTTTCTTATCCTTCACACATGTTTAATGAAGTTAGCAAAAATGCATTGGAGGAAACGGAAGTTTTCAAAAGAATGAC